AATGGCGGGGAGGGGTAGAGGCTGTGGAGAGCTGAAGGTGCGGGGTTCAGGGGGAAGAAGTGGGCGGCGCAGAGGGCAAGGAGGCTACCTGCCCCATCCCCAGCCACTGCTTTCCTCGCTGTAGCAATGCGGGGGGCAAGGATTCAAGACAACCCTCCAATCCTTAGATTCTATTCCTGGAAAATTATGAACTGACAAGGTCCTTTGGGTAAATGTGATATTTTTTATTAGACCAACTAAATAGTTGGAAAAATTGTTCTTTGCAAGCTTTTGGGTACACACACCCTTGCAAAGAACAACTTTCCAACTATTCAGTTGGTTTAATAAAAGCTAGCACATTTACCCAAAGTACCTTGTTTGCCTCATCCTTAGACCAATACGGCTACAACCAACACCCTGGAAAATCATAACAAATTTGTAAATTTTTCATATATAGATTCTAATCATTGGGGATTTATCTTGTATTCAAGTAAATGTAATATCTTACAGTATTTACCTCATTACGGAGGGGTCAGGCAGTGGGGAAGGGGGAACAGCCAGGCAGAGTCAAGCCAGAGTCTGCATGTATCTGCTTATCTCCTCACCCCCAACACCCTGGTTGAGAATCACTAAATTAGACAATTACATTTATAGGAAGTTATTAAGCATTGGTTGCCCACTACTGGTTTATTTATTATCGTATTGTATTCGTTTTATGTTACTCTCTCCTCCAGCTTTACCTTCTCAAAGTACTTGGGATTTTTATATTGGTGAGACATAGCAGGTACAACAGCATAGTAGAGAGGGGCAGGGGTGGTAAGATGGTTAGATAGTTGACAGCTAGTTAGGGATAGTGACCACTGTATAAAGAGGTCTTCTTGTTGGATATCATCAGGACCAAAGGGTCAGGAAGCTGGGAAAGAGCAACCAAAAGGCTGCACAAGGCCAGGGTAGATTTTTTTTCTGTTTTAATGACAAACACAGTCCTTTGAGATAGAGAAGGACCATATATATCTATACATGGTACATGTGCAAGTCCATCACCCACAAGCTGCTGAGTGTCTACACTCCTATACTGATGATGTAAATGCTGCTAGGGAAGGGGCTGAAAAATAGGCCTGTGGACTGCAGGAAGAAAACAGTTGGAAACTCCAGTCAGTTCTGAAATGTTCCAGCAGCACGGAGGTCTTGTGTTTTGGGACCATCTTTCTGCTGACTGGGTTGTTGTCCCGTGCAGCCAGGATGTAGAAGCACGCTGAAACATCACAAATGTCACATGGAACAGAGTTCCTAGTGCTCCAGTGTACAGAATCCCACCTCCGGCACTTCTGTCACTGTGTAAACACCTCTGAGCATGCAATCTCAGCATCTGCATCGGATAACGGTTTTCAAGTGGCTACTGAGAAAATTGCCTCTTCCAGCCTTTTATCTCGATGCTTGTAAGAATAGGCTGAGTCTTTTGTGACTAAAGTGATTAAAGTACAAGCTGTCATCGATCAGAATCTCTCTGTGCTATGTGGGATGCAGCAAAAACTAATTAGTGGATTTTTTTAGTTATTCTGTGATTCTCTAATTATTTTTTTTATTATTGTTTCAAAGGCAATTCAGCAACAGAGCTCATCAGAAACTGAGGGAGAAGGAGGAAATACAGCAGATGCCAGCAGTGAGGAGGAAGGTGATCGGGTAGAAGAGGATGGAAAAGGCAAAAGAAAGAATGAAAAAGCCGGTTCAAAACGAAAAAAATCCTACACTTCAAAGGTGACCCATGAGCTCATCCACTGCTACTCATATGCATTGTAATCAAAGTGCCTTTGTCCTACAGCACCTGAAGCCTTACCCTCTGCTGGGTATATATGGGGGGAGGGTGTTCATTATGTAAAACAGACAGAGGGAACTGATCTTGCCTCTGGACACAGCATTGGTAAGACCAAGACTGGAACAGTGTATAGTCATGGTATCTACATTTCAAGAATGATGTGGGAATACAGGAGAAGGAAAGGATAACCACAAAAATTGCACAGGAATGGGAAAACAAGCCTTAACATGTCAGGCTGAAGGAGCTCAACTTCTTCAAGGTATTGAAGGTGGAGAAGTGACTTCTCCCTTTTTTGCGGTTGCTAACACATGTCTGTACCATGTGGCAGCATGTCCCAGTAAGGATGCTCCCAAGCATGTCCCTGCCCACCCACGCTTGCATGCATTCTCCAAACATGGAAGTACACCAGTGAAGCCACAATGGTGTCATCCCTAGCAGCTGTTCTCTGGTCTCAACAGTGACTGGGAGAGATGTCCCAAGAGGAGCTGTACCAGCATATTTCCAGGTCTAGCTTGTGTAAGTGGGCCAGGCATGCTTGGGTGTTGCTGCCAGAAGACCCAGCCTCTACAGTGTAAGCACACCCCTGGAACTGTGGGGGCTCTTTCCAACCTTGCTGTAAAGGCATAACGAGTCAGTGTCTGGAACCCAAAGATAAATATATTCAGCCTTGAAATGACAACAATTTTCTAGTCAAGAAGGTAATTAAACATTGGAACAGGTTCTCGGGAAAGCTGGGTGGGGGTGGTCAGCCTCACTTGGAAATCTTTAGGTGAGATTTGATATCCTTTCAAACAGCCTTCTTTAATTCACTTCTGGGAGAAGTTCCTCAGCAGGCATGTGCAGTAGGGTCTTTAAGGCCTTCAGGTCTGTAACTCTGATTTTTCCTGTTCATCCCTCCCTGGGGAGTGCAGGGCTACCTGCACTGCCCTCAGCATGCTTATCACACTGACAGCTCTGCATTAGGGCAGTGATTAAAATCAATCTCATGCTTCAAAACTTTGTGTGTTGCCTCCAGGGATCAAAAACTTTTTTCCCCAGGGTGCAATTAGCTAGATGTTTTCTGGGTACTTCTTTTTCCACCTTCCTCAGAAATCTCAAAGTTTGCCTGCTATGGGCAGGATGCTGGATGGTCTGCAGTGGGAGAAAAAAACCTCTTATTTAAGCAAATCTTGGCCTTATGCTTAAGGCCATACAGATTAACATATCTGGGAGTAGGAAGGAACTTTTCCCAGGACATATTGGCAGAGTCCTTGGTGGAACAAATGGCCCTGCCATTTGCAGGGGCCTAAGGCATGTTAGTCTTTCCTTTGCCATGGCTCACAGTTTAGTATCCTGAGGTCTGATGTGGTTTAGTCTAATTAAAAGTTTGGGGCATAACCTAGGGTCTTTGGAGGAAATGTAATAGCTGGTGACAGACAGGTGGTCAGGCGAGGTGATCAGATGGTTAGTCCCGTGGCCTGACTTTTCGCTGGTCTGTGAAATAGAGGAGAAGTGTGCTCCAGTGATCAGATCATGAGCCTGGGGCCTGGGTGAGCTGGATTTAGTTCGCTGCTCTGCCACAGACTTCCCATGTACCAAGGCTGTTTAATCACCATCAGCAAAGCGGGCAGAATAGCACCTCCATCCTTCCCCGGGTTGTGAGGAGTAGACATAAACACAGTAAATATTGTGAGGGTGTTGGGTATCAAGGTAAAGGGAGCCAAAAAAATACCTCAGAGAGTAGGTGTAGACACAAAAATAGATATCTTTGTTTGGGCCCAGTAGCACTGATGTTCCTTTAAATGGAATAGACCAGGTTTCGACTGGAGTTTAGCACAGAGGAGCCAACAGCAATGCCCATTTACACCAGCTGTGAAGCGTCCTAGTATATTTTACAGTTTCCCTGTAGTCTCATTTGAATAGGTCTTAGAAGTGGGTAGGAGTGATGGGAGCGTGGATGTTTGCACAGACCCTTATTATAATCACCTCTGAGAGTGCCAGAACAGGTGTATTTTGATGAAGGGGGCATTTTGATGATACCTTTGCTCTTCTTCCCCTTTTAAACCTGCCCTTCATATTAATTATTGGACTCACTTGAAGGCTACTGAAGTCAATGGGAAGACCCCCACCCACCCCCAAAGCATTACTGCTTGATTTATTTGTAATGTGATTGGTTTATTAATTGGACCCATATCACTAAAACTATTGCCCCATATCACTAAAAATATTGTGTTACTTGCATTTTACTTTGAGCTTGAGTTTGCTGTGATTTGTGTTAAAGGTGGGCTTGATGCAGCACCCTAGATCCCAGCCACTATGAATAAGGCCAGAGAGATTTGTTTTGAAAAATAGTGTATTTTCTGAGAAATGTCATTTCCTTTGACCTGAGCTCTTTGCAATTTTGTGGAATCATTTCAGCTGGGAAGACATTAGGGCTGGATTCCCAGTGCCATGTGTGGTGTTGCCAAGCCCCTTGTGCCCACTGGCTAAGCCCTTTGCTAAGCTTGTGGAAGACACAAGTTCAGTACCCTTCCCTGCTTCAGGGGATCTGAACTTGCATTTCTCACCTCCGAGGTGAGTCACTCGAACAACCAGGCTGAAAGGCATTCTTATGAGGTGAGGAGGGGCACTCATTTTTTCCTGTTGGACTTGTTCCAAGTTACATAAAATACTTAAATATTTATGGGGCAGAGAGTGATAATGACTTTATCGACTGGGGGTTAGGGTGTTTGCCAGGGAGGTGGGATACCAGAGTACCAGGCCCTTCCCCAGGAAATAGTTAATGAAAAGGAACAGGCAAGAGAGCTACAGGAGGAAGTAGCAAGGCTCCAAAGCATCCTCCACCATGGGGTCTTCATCAGTTCCATGCTGAAGGTAACCTGTAGGACTGTGGATGAAGGACTGCCATTGAGGTGGCGCTAGAAAAGGAAGAGGGCATGGACTCCCAGGAAGGTGAAAGCTGGAAGCTTGTGACCTTTGGCAGCAAGAAGTCATTGTCATCCCCACCTGCGGTGGTTTGCCTGGAGAAGAGATATGAAGCAATAGCAACAGAGGAGGAGGAGTGCGTTCCATTGATGGAAGAAGCCAGGCCAGGAATCCCCGAAGTGAGGAAGAGCAAGACCACTGCTACGAAGAGGAAGCGACAGGTGGTGATAGTTGGATATGCCCTTCTGTAAGAGATGGAAGGGTCCATATACCAGCCTGACCTGTTGTCCTGGGAGATCTGCTGCTTGCCTGGAGCCCAGATCTGAGATGAGACGAAAGGATTACCGAGACTCATCCAATCCTCTGACTACTACCCCATGCTGCGCCTTCCTGTGGGCACCAGTGATACTGCCTGAGCAGATCAAGAGTAACTACAGGGCTCTGGGTGCAAGGTTGAAGGGGACAGAGACAGAGGGGATGTTCCTCTCAATCCTTCTGGTCAAGCGGACAGACCCAGGCAGGAGAAGACGCATCCTGCAGATCAATTCATGACTGCATGGGTGGTGTTGCCAGCAGGGATTCAGCTTCTTCAACCATGGGATGCTGTTCCAAGAGGATTGTAGGAAGAGACAGGATCCACTTGACAAAGAGAGGGAAGAGTATCTTTGGAGACAGGCTCACTAACCTAGTGAGGAGGGCTTTAAACTAGCTTTGCCAGGGGATGGAGACCAAAGGCCTGAGGTAAGTGGGGAAGCGGGACACCTGGAGGAAGCAAAAGGGGGAGGGAGCAACAGGGGAGGTCTCATTCTTACTGAGAAGGGCAATCGGCTAGTTACCTCAGGTGCCTATTCACCATTGCACAGACCCTGGGAAACCATCAGGAAAAACTGGAAGTCCTTGCACAGTCATGAAGCTATGACATGATTGGAATAACAGAGACTTGGTGGGAGCTCGCATGATAGGAGCACTGTCATGGATGGGTTCAAACTGTTCAGGAAGGACAGGCAGGGGAGAAGAGGAGGGAGGAGTTACGCTTTACATAAAAGAACTGGATGATTGCTCAGAGCTGTGGTATGAAACTGGAAATAGGCTTGTTGAAAGTCTGCTTGTTAGGGTCAGAGGGGAGAGCAACAAGGGTGATGTTGTGGTAGGCATCTGCTACGGACCACCAGACCAGGAGGATGAGGTAGATGAGGCTTTCTTCAGACAACTAGTGGAAGTTTCGAGATCACAGGTCCTAGTTCTCATGGGGGACTTCAGTCACCCTGACATTGGCTGGGAGGACAATACAGCAGTGCACAGGAAGTCCAGGAAGTTTGTGGAGAGTGTTGGAGACAACTTCCTGGCGCAAGCGTTGAAAAGACCAACTAGGAGCCATGCTCTTCTTGACCTGCTACTCACAAACAGGGAAGAATTGGTCAGATGTAGAAGTGGATGGCAACTTGGGCAGCAGTGACCACAAGATGGTCGAGTTTAGGATCTTGACAAGAGGAAGACAGGAGAGCAGCAGACTAAGGACCCTGGACTTCAGAAAAGCAGACTTTGACTCCCTCAGGGAGCTGATGGGCAGGATCCCCTGGGATGCCAGTCTGAGGGGGAGAGGAGTCCAGCAGAGCCGGTGGTATTTTAAAAAACCTTACTGAGGGCGCAGGAGCAAACCATCCTGATATGTAAGAAGAATAGCAAATATGACAGGCGACCGGCTTGACTTAGCAGAGAACTCTTTGATGAGCTTAAACACAAAAAGGAAGCTGACAAGTGGAAGCTCGGACAGATGACTAGGGAGGAGTATGAAAATAAGTTTAGGTTAAATATTAGGAAGAATTTGCTCACTAGGAGGGTAGTAAAACACTGGGATGGGTTACCCAGAGAGGTGGTGGAATCTCCTTCTTCGAAGGTTTTTAAGACCTGGGTAGACAAGGCCTTGGCTGGGACAATCTAGTCGGGGCTGGTCCTGCTTTGAGCAGGAGGTTGGCCTAGATGGCCCTAATTTTCCAACCCTAATTTTCTATGTTTCTATAATATTGCTCCAGCATGCAGGGATGAAATTGGGGGGCATTTATAGATGTGTTCTGGGAGGTGGGAAGGAGAGTGCTTTAATTAGCGCAGCTCCAAGAGCCGCACTAATTAAAGGTCCTGGAGCGTAATGTATATCAGTGTCCCCATGCTGAAAAATGGCAGCAGGGCACTTTGAACTAAAGCTCGTCAAACAAGTCTTAGCTTAAAGCGCCTCACCACCATTTTTCAGCACAGGGATGCTGATACATGTGACACTGGAGTTGGCTCCAACACATTGTAATTACAGTGTTTCGGAGCAGCCTCCCTGAAAGTGTACAGGAGCCCAGGAAAGCCAAAGTACAGTTGGCATTGCAGCTAGCAAGGGACATGAAGGCTGACAAGGGTTTCTACAAGTATGTTTGCAACAAGAGGGAAGGTCAGGGAAAGTGTGGGTCCCTTTAGTGAATGAGAGGCAACCTAGTAACAGATGAGGAGGAAAAGGCTGAAGTACTCAATGCCTTTTTATCTCAGTCTTCACAGGCAAGGTCAGCTCCCAGACTACTGCACTAGGCAGCACAGTTTGAGGAGGAAGTGAGCAGCCACCAGTGGTGAAAGAATAGGTATGGGACTATTTAGAAAAGCCAGTTGTGTACAAGCCCATGGGGTCAGATGCAGTGCATCCAAGGGTGCTGAGGGAGTTGGCTGCTGTGATTGCAGAGTTGCTGGCCATTATCTTTGAAAACTCGTGGGAATGGGGGGAGGTCCTGGATGACTGGAAAAGAATAAATATACTGCCCATCTTTAACAAAGGGAAAAAGGAAGACCCAGGGAACTACAGACAAGTCAGCCTCACTTCAGTCCTCAGAAAAATCATGGAACAAGTCCTGAAGGAATTCATTTCTAAGCACTTGGAGGGAAAGAAAGTGATCAGGAACAGTCAGCATGGATTCACCAAGGGCAAGTCATGCCTGACCAACCTGATACCCTTCTATGAAGAGATGACTGGCTCTGTGGATGTGGGGAAAGCACTGGATGTGATATACCTTGACTTTAGCAAGGCTTTTGATATGATCTCCCACACCATTCTTGCAAGCGAGCTGAAGAAGTATGGGTTTCATAGTTCCGTAATTGATAAGGGCTGAAAAGGACCTTACAGATCATTGGGTCCAGCCCCCCTTCACTTGGGCAGGAAAGACTGGATGAATGAACTATAAGGTGGGTAGAAAGCTGGCTGGATAGTTGGGCTTAATGGGTAGTAATCAATGACTCAAGGTCTAGTTGGCAGCCAGTATCACATAGTGTGCCCCAGGGGTCCGTCCTGGGGCTGATTTTGTTCAATACCTTCATTAATCATAGGGAAGATGGGGTGGAGTGCATCCTTAGCAAGTTCACAGATGACACCAAGCTGGAGGAAGTAGTAGATATGCTGGAGGGTAGGGCTAGGATTCAGAGTGACCTAGACAAATTGGAGGATTGGGCCAAAAGGAATTTCATGATGTTCAACAAGGAGAAGTGCAAAGTCCTGCCCTTAGGACGGAAGAATCCCAGGCACCAGTACAGGTTTGCAACCAAGTGGCTACGCCACAGCTTTGGAAAAGGACCTGGGGGTTACAGTGGACAATAAGCTGGATATGAGTCAATAGTGCCCTTGTTGCCAAGAAGGCTAATGGCATACTGGGCTGCATTTGTAGATGTGTTGCCAGCAGATCAAGGGAAGTAATTATGCCCTTCTATATTACACTAGTGAGGCCAGATCTGGAGTACTGGGTTCAGTTTTGGCATCCCCACTATAGAAAGGACATGGACAAGTTGGAAAGAGTCCAGTGGAGGGAAACAAAAATGGTGAGGGGACTGGGGCACATGATTTATGTGGAGAGGCTGAGGGAGCTGGACATATTTACCCTGCAGAAGAGAAGACTGAAGTGGGATTTGATAGCAGATTTTAACTACCTGAAGGGTGGTTTCCAAGAGTATAGAGCTAGACTGTTTTCAGTAATGGTAGCAAGGGAAGTTTAGGTTGAATATTAGGACAAACTTTCTCACTAGGACAGTGGTGAAGCACTGGAACAGGTTACCTAGAGGGGTGCTGGAATCTCCATCCTTGGAGGTTTTTAAGGCTCGACTTGACGAAGCTCTGACTGGAACGGTCTAGTTGGGGCTGGTCCTGCTTTGAGCAGAGGTTCGGACTAGAGACCTCCTGAGGCCTTCCAACCCTCATTTTCTATAATTCTATATGGTACAACATGAAACAGTATCAGCAACACAGGCTGAGAGCATCACAGCCCAGAATACCCCAGATCATGGTGGCTGGGGTATTCACCTGGGAAGTGGAAACTGCAGGCTCAGATCACCTCTGGTAGAGGAGAGGATTGAGCCCTGGTCTCTCAGGTGCCTATACGCAAGCCAAGAGGCTGCTCCAACACGCTGCAATTACAGCACATCGGAGCAGACTCGCTTAATCAAGTCTGGTGGAAAGTGGTAATTACCGCACTCCAGCCTGCCCCCATGTCTCATGTATCTGCGTCCTCATGCTTCAAAATGGCGGTGGGGGTGCTTTAACTAAAGCTCATTCTACAAGCTTTAGTTAAAGCGTCCCTGTCGCCATTTTGAGGCTCTGGGCACTTTCATTAGAGCGCTACTGGGAGCCACTCAAATTAAACCACCCTCCCCACTCCCGGAGCACATGTAAAAACTCCCTCATAGTCTGGATGAGAGCTTTGAGGCTGTTGGATACACAGTGGGGTATGAAGAGAAGCACTGGGACCACCTCCTCCAGTGGTGTCTAAGCCTAGGCCTTTGTTTCCATTGCTGTGGTTACATAAAAAATGCTTGGAATGAGGGAGAAGGGGAGGATCGATCTGTGAGGAGGGAACAGCACATTTTGTGCTACCTGAAGTGCTTTTTTTTATTTTCAGTTTTTCATTGTGGTAAGAAAAAATGGCAACATTGGTCCAAATATGTGGGGTTTTCTCAGTCCAGCCACCAAACTAAACCGTCTGTTGATTCAAAGAGCCCGGCTCATGAACTCATAGATTACAAAAACACGTACAAAGACCTTTCCCCCTAGTTTGTTTCACATTATACGTTCACTGTCCTTTCTGTTAAAAGACTCTGAACAAACAGGGGATTAATAGAATAGTGGCTTAAAGCCACGGTTTATCCCTTTGTGCTGCAAAATTTCATAACGTAAAGACAGCGAGAAAGTTGTATTGGTTCCACATGACTTTAATTCTAATATATAAAAGCTGGCAGCACTAGAAGAGTATGGGAAAGGAGCTCTGCTAATGTTGTTCTGGCTTTGCATCTCTGTATTTAATCACAACTTTTGTCAAGCTGGCACCATCTGCTTCATTACCTACCAAAACCAACAGGTGACCAAGTGTTAATATTCATCCCCTCTTACTGCACCTACCAGCTGATTGACCATGTTGGCATCCCATGTCAGGCACAGATTTCTCCTCTTGTTCCGCTGGCTGCTGTAAGTCTGAGGGCTGGAAGTGAAATACCTCTTTCATCACCCCCTGGGCTCTCCCTACAAATGGCCTCAGATGGAGTTGCTTAGTAGATGAGGGAACCTAGATATGCAACCACCCACTGTAAAAAATTATAATAAATAAATAAGGATTTTTCTTAATTTTGAAGCTCGGTTTTTATTGTTTAACTCTGCTCTTGGTCTGTTTTAGAAATCCTCCAAGCAGTCACGGAAATCTCCCGGAGATGAAGATGATAAGGACTGCAAAGAGGAAGAAAATAAGAGCAGCTCTGATGCTGGAGACGCAGGCAATGACACAAGAAACACTTCTTCAGATTTGCAGAAAACCAGTGAAGGGGTAATCTTCCCTTAATGCCATTCATCTCCCATGCTGTTTGTTACCACAGCGCCTCAGAATAGCAAGGGAAAGTCACCATGTGCAGAGGCCTACAAGCATCCTCTCAGTCCTAATTAAACCTCACAACAGGGTGCAAATAGCACCAAGGCCAGATGTGGGGCCCTGCACAGGTGTGAGCTTCGCTCTGTGCAAATGAACAATTGCATACGTTAAAGCTATGACCACTCCTCTCACTCCAGGTTTACTGTCCCTGGAGTCAATGGCATTGTACTCATGCTCCAACAAAGAGGAGGGTAGAATTGGGCCTTATGTATACTGTGCTGTGGGTTCCTAAACTGGGGGTCTGCTTAACCTTTCATGCTCATTTTATACCTGCCCAATTCCATGGCTTTTCTGGAGTTCATTCAGATCTTTACAAGTATCATTGGCAGGATCCGTGTGTGCAGGTTTCTAAGTGGCCTTGTCTTGGGTTACCCTGTGCTGAAATGGGGGGGTATCTTGGGATTATGCACATCTGATACAAACCTAAACTCCATCTTCCTCTCAGAATTGTTCCACATGCATTCAAGTCCACTGCACTCCTGGCATCGCTACTAGGAGCTTATTGGGCAGTGAATTTCTGTGTCTTAAGGGAAAGAGTTTCATACATCATTCCAGTCTATCCAAATGGGTGAACACCAGCCACCTCAAAAAAAAGAAAGCTTTCCTGTTCTCTCTTGTCCTTCTCTGTTCCCTCGGCCTGCGTAGCAGGCTTGCTGTGGCCGAATAAGACCTGGCTAGACACTGAGCCCTGATGCAGAAAAAAGTCAGGAGGTGAAGCCACGTGTAGAGTTTACTGCTCAGGTAGTGAAACTGGATGAATCTGTGCAGTTCAGGAATGGGAACGTGTTCTCTAGGGAGTGGTCAAAATGCTCAATGCCCAATTCAAATGAACCACTACTTAAAAACACCATGGTGATATGTCTCCCATAAGGATGAAATCCACACACCTCTTCCTACTGGCTGAAGCATGAGGTAGCTACAGCTGCATAGAGGTTATGAGAGTGGGATGTAATCCACCACCCCAGAGTGTGGGCAAGAGGGTTGCCAGGCCAAGAATTTTTTTTTACTAGCAATCCGCAGGCTTTTTGCTGCCAATTCAACTTTTTATTGACATATGTTTTATATAATGTAAATGTAACCCATCTGCCAGGCCCTGGATGACATTGACAAGGGCAAAGTTCAAATTCAGGGTTTTAACACCAAACATTAAAAAAGAAGCATGGTTGTCTGTAAAAAGAAAAAAATGTTCTTGAGTTGGGAGTCCTGTTAGACTGTATCAATGGTTTTACCCTGTGCTTCCCTACTCACATCTATGCTTTGAAGCCCTGACTGCAATCCACCAGTCCTGCTCCCCCTGTCCCAGCATTGACCCCCAGTCATGCTGCCTTTCCTTCTCCTGGCTTGCAGCTTTGCCCAGACCCCACCCCTGTACCTTCAAGATGAGCAACTGTTAAGATGGAGAGAGAGCCAGAGGGACACAGCACCAACACATGTAGGCATCTATGCAGAGGCCAGCAAAATACAGCCTGTGGGCCGCATCCAGTCCGCTAGGCGATTTTCTTCTGGCCTGCGGGCAGGTGCCCACTGTCACAAGGTCACGTAGGTGCCTTGTGCCTAGAAGAGGGTTAAGAACAGCTGCCAATCACCAGGGCAGCTCAGCTGCCGCTTGCTGGGGCAACCATGTTGGTCAGGTGACCAGAAGGGGGCAGGGCCGGGCCCTTATAAACAGCCCAGGCCGGAGCCTGGCTGGTAGTTCCCTTCTGGCAGCCTAAGGTGAAGGAGGTCTGCAAGAGTGGGCTGGGCTGGGCTGGGCATTAAGCATGTGGATGCTGGGTGGAGAGAACCCTGGCAGGGATATGAAGGTTAGCCAGGTTGGTGGGGAACCTAAGTTGTAGCCGAGGGGCTTTGTGTTTTGTGTTATAGCCGGATGGCTTATGGCTTGTGTTAGTTGTGTAAATATACTGGAGGACCAGGTGAGGCTGTAGGGGTGTGAGGAGGCCTCATGGGAGCTCCCCGGTAGTCTGGGGGTTCCTGGGTGCCCTGTTTGGGCACAGAGCAGTGCCAGGGAGGCATGGCTGTTTGGCACCGGTGTGGTGCGGTGTGTGGGAGTTGAGACCCCAGCCCGAGGGCAGTATTCGGCCCAGTTGGGTGAAGGACCCCAAGAAGGGTCAGGGGGCCAGGCACAGCTGCGTGCCACCTGAGCCCCGAGCGCGGTTTAGCGCGGGGCAGAGCCCCAGAGGGGGCAAGAGCAGCGCAGGGCAGAGCCCTGAGCATGGAAATCGCGTGTATAGGCCCCAGCGAGGGCGAAGAGCGCGGCAAGTGCGAGATAGGCCCAAGTGCGGGTGAGAAGTAGTCTGAGTCGGGTGAAAGACCCCAAGAGGGGGCCAGGCATGGGTACTGGCCACCTGAGCCCTGGCACGAGAAGTGCGGGATGAGCCCCAGAGAAGGGCAAGGGCGCAAGAGGCGCAGATTGGGACAGGCCCCAGCAAGGGTGAGTGCAAGAAGCGCGATTAGCAGCCTGGAGAAGGGCGGGCTTACTGAGGGAGCCCCAGAGAAAGGCGAGCTTATTGAGAAGCCCAGAAGGGCAAGCATACTGAGGAGGCTCCTGAAGGAGTCAGCCTATGGTGCCGGCCCAAGAGGGCTAGCGAACACAGGGGCGCCAGAGCGAGGGGCGTTGGTTGTGTGACAAGCCCAAGGATGCCCGAGGAAGGGCGTTGGTTGCATGACAAGCCCAGGGTGCCCGGCAAGGCACAACTGACCAAACAATGTCTGGAACAGCTGCGAGGCTTGGGGCGTGCTAAAGGGGAGGTAGGAGGCACGCATAGCCCATAAGGCTGGGGTGTAACAGGTCACCTGTAGAGAGTAGGGGCCCAGACAAGTATAACACCCAGTGCTAGGAGATCAAAGGCAGCCTCCCATGTTAAATTATATATGACCAAGACGTGGCGGGCGAGAATCAGAGGGTGCTGGATCTCCTAATTTGGCACGGCAGGGGGCGCTAGCGGGATCACGGCCGCTCCTAGGGCCCACTCCGTGACACCCACCAATTAACTGTATCCAGCCAGCCTGTAGATGCCCCTGCCGTGCTCTGTATGGGGCTGAGCCCCACCCATTCCCATCAGGGCAGCATGCTGTGCTCCCACCCTCACCCATGGGAGGGTCCTGGCCCTGGCCAGCATGTACAGCTTCTGGGCAGGGCTGATGCTGCCACTTCTGCAGCCACCCAGGGAGCTGCTTGGATGCCCCAGCCTCCAGCAGCTCCTCCTCCTGTCCCTGCTGCAGCATTCTGGACAGCAGGTAGGTAAGCAGTGTTAGGTGTTGGGGAGCATGGGGCCAGAGCTGGTGGGAGCACAGAGCCCAGGGCCAGGGCCAGTGGGAGCACAGGGCTCCCCACAGCTCACATACAGCTCCCAGGTCTCAGCTGAGAGCCACTTGCAATGGAGCCAGTGGCCTGGCCCCACTTCCTGTTGCCACATGCAGGTTCCAGGACTCAGCTGGGAGCCCCATGTGATGGATCCTTGCCAGCTCGGCCTCATTCCCTGCTGCTCTGGCCGGGTCCTGGGATATACACATGGCAGCAGGGAGCAGGGTCAGGTCAAAGGTTCTATCAGGCAGGTCTCCTCCTGGTGGCGTGCAGCATCAGCTGAGTCCTGGGATCTGCATGTGAGCTGTGGGGAGTCCTGTGTGATGGAGCCAGCAGCCTGGCCCCGCTCCCTGCCACCACGTGCAGATCCTGGGACTCATTCAGTGCCATGCACTGCCGAGGGACTCCACCTGCCATGGACCATGAGTTCCCTGAGGGCCTGCTGCTGCTACTGGCAGCAAGGACTGCACCATGTGAGGGGAGGGGGTGGGGTGGGGAGGGGCCCACACGCACACACCCCACAGCCCACCACACCCACGCAAACACCGGCACACCTCATGCATACCCACACCCTCCACACACCCCCACAAACCACACACCCACATCCAATCCCTTCCCCACACCTCCCACACTCTCCACACCACCACCCCCCAACCCCACACACGCCCATTCACAAAATACAAAAGGAAAACTTAATTTTTGAGCTATTATGCAGTCACCTCTATAGGCATGATGCAAACACACAAATCAGGACAAAAATATTTTTGAAATTAAAATTAAAATACATTATAGTAGATGTTTGGGGTTTTTTTTGTTTTTTTTTTTTTAGTATATAGTTGGATTTTTTTCTGGTTCCAAGATGGCAAACCCATCCATGCCCAAAAGGACTCCCAAAAAGAGTACTTTCTGGGGCAAAGGGAGGGATTTCTGGTGGTAAAGGTCAGGGGTTAGGGACAGGTTTTCTGGTCCCATGATGTTGACCAGGGGGTGGGGCACCTGTCAAGGGGCAGGGCTATCCTTGCAGCCCTCAATGGCTCACCAAAACTTGTTAAGCAGCCCTCCACCTGAAATAATTTCCC